TGATTCCCTTTTTTATTATATTGAATCTTTTTAAATAAAAAAGAAAGCAAAATTATATGCATGCGAGAATTTGAAATCAGTTTATTGGAAACTCAAAGTTTATCGATAAAGCCATTTAATTAAAGAATAAAGGCAGTTTAGTTTTATAAAGAACACTTTAAAACGTTTTGCGAAGCGTTTGTGGTTGAATTTTACCTTAAATTGAAGCTTATATTACGTATAATATCATACCTAACATATATATGTTGGGAAATTGATAATTTTGTAATCTCCGAGCCGGCGGCGCGAAGCGCCGTGCGAGGGTACTAATTCCCCCCGGCTATTTACACCCGTGGAAACGAAAGCATTAGCGAAGTCTAAAGTTCTCAAATATCGCGGGCGTGGCTCACCAACGATGTTTCGGTGGGTGGTCATCCTCACTGATCTCAAAAATATGGCGGACTGTCATGAATAGCGGACACTGATTGGTCCAATTTAAAGTTTGCATTATAACGACTGCATGACGACAGCGAAATAGCAAACATTTCCTGATTTGATGATTGATAAATTTCTTGCAAATATATTTAATTTTTGCTCGCATTTTGGCAAGAATTTGTAAATTTCAAAAGCTCTCTCAGAAAGAAACTGCGAAAGAATCGGCTAAAAGAAGGGAGCCGACGTTAACGAAGGTAAGTTTGTTTTAAATATTTGATTGTATAATGGCTTTAAAACCCGACGGCCCTTGCGTATGAAATAACTAACAAGACAGCATATAATTTCATTGTATGTTTAATATTGATTGCCTTTTTTATGATATTCAATTTTTTGAGTAAAAAAGAAAGCAAAGTTATTTGTAAGCGAAAATTTGAAATCATGTTATTGCAAACTCAAAGTTTATCGATAAAGCCATTTTAAAAGGCAGATTAGTTTTAATATAAAGAACACTAGTGACTTTAAAACGTTTTGCGAAGCGTTTGTGGTTCAATTTTACCTTAAATTGAGGCTTATATTACGTATAACATACCTAACATATATATGTTGCGAAATTAATAATTTTGTAATTAAAAGTGATATTTTCAGGCGATTTTTCATTTGTAAGAATATTGAATATTCTTAAAAAATTATTGTGTTACCATGACAACTACTTTAGATACTTCATGTTCGGAAAATACAATGGTTTTGTCAGCAAGGCGAGGGTTTCTGCATGCATGTATTTTCTAGTTATTATGTAAGACAAATTCTCATAACCTTTGAATAAACGAATTTGAATTCTTGCAAATCTACTGGGTTTTTTTTAAATTGCTTTTGCTCATTTTAATAATTTTTAAAAATAATTTTTCGCAAGGGCCTGGAATATACTGACCAGCGAAAACAAAATCTTTAGCTGTTCTTCGCTAATGCTGTCCTTTTCACGGGTATAACAGAATTGACATTCTCGATAGGGAACGGCGATGTGTGCAGGTTAAACTTTGTTGAAAGAGAACGTCAGATAATTTCTGTCTATATTTTTTCTGTATACAAGATTTTTGCGCATTTAATATTCATTTTCTGTATATTTCTAGGGTCCAAACTTTGTGGCTTTGTATAGTTTTAAAGGACAAAAGAGTGACGATCTGAGTTTTGAAAAGGTATGTGCTATGCATTCGTTGCACTGTCTGTATCTGATTGTTCTGTGTTATGAATTTTGTATAATGTGTTCAAGTATATAAGTAATAGGATGTTTTCAAGTCCAATTTGGATAAAACATGCACGAGTGAGTTTTTAAAGAAACAATTAAAGACTGTAGAAACAATAAGAAGACTGCACCTATGTATGCTACAAAAATTGTGGGATAACACTGTTGCAGAACAGAAGACTGCATAACACATCTTAATTAACCACTGCTTGAGGGAATTAACCAACGAAGACTGAGAGTTATATATATTTTGTATACTGTACAGTATTTAAACTGAGAGTTATATAAATTTTGTATACTGTACAGTATTTAAGTATAGGCAATACGGTGGTTTAACTTCAAGTAAAATTTAGATAAAACATGCACGAGTAAGTTTATCGAGAAACAATTCCGGACTGGAGAAACAATTAAAGACTGGACCTGAGCGTGCCACAAAGAATGTGGAATTTAACTGTTACAGTACTAAAGAATACATAACACATCTTAATTAACCAGGGCCGTATAGCGACACCTAACACCCCTTAATAGTTAACACATCTTAATTAACCAGGGCAGTAAAACCTTCCCCCCCCCCCTCCTATAATTGCTCATGAGAAATTTCAGGTAGATTTTTAGGTAACTTCAGGTAATTCTCAGGGCATAAAAAAGTGAACTCTAGCTATGCTCTGAATCAGAATTAGAGTTACCAATCGACCAACTAAAGACGTTGATACGCGTCGTAGCGGGTTGGCCCCAGCCACGCTCTTTTTGGCCAGGGGCTTAACTCGATGAACATAAGGTTGTTTTAGTACTTCAAGTTAATAAACTCCGGGGTTTAATTCGAATAAATTAATAAATAAAAAACAAATAAAAAGTAACGATTTATGTAAACAAGCGACGCGTGTTTTCAGTATACTCTCACAAATACTGGCAAATAAAGAGGGAGAATGTAAAATTTCAGCAATTTTAAGAAATATATTTTACTAAGACTTCTGTCGCTGTACCTACAGTTTTATAAAAACAATTATATCCGACTTCAATTATTGATCGGCTATTGCTCGGCTTGTGATTATAACTAGTCGTGAAAGATTGGGTGCATTTTTTGCGCGAAATCATATCGAAAGTCAGTTTATACAAGAGTGACAATATTAATAAAAATACAGAAGAATTTGCAAGGTTTTTGCTATTGTAAATGTAATTATCTGTTTTTTATCGTCGTATTGATAGTTGGAGATTTTACTGACGGAACTATAATCAGTTTTATTTAGGGAAATACACGTTTTGAATGTACAACAGGACACTGTTATGAACCTTGCAATGAGTTGGAACAATGTGTTTATTGGTGGCAAACCTGGAACTGGAAAATGTATACACAGTTAAACGGGTCGTCAACAGTTTGAAACAAACGCGTAATGTAAAAGTTACGTGTACTATACGACTGGGCTTGGCTTGTTCGCTTTACGATAACCTGAGTATCAGGCCGTCCTTTTAGGGCACAGGCACGCCTGATCGCGGGCGAAGGGGAAAAAAGTACGGCCTGACACAAAAGCGGCATTTTGCCTGGTTATTCAGTCCAGAATCTGGACTGAGCGTTGATTGGATGAGACCACTCAAAATATTACGTCACCGGAAATGATCATATAACGATCACAACTACAATTATAGCCGGCCCACTAAACGGCTGAATTTAAATTAAAACTGCAGTAAAATTAGAAAATAATCGCAAATTAGCGAAATATATTGCAAATGTAGCTTATATTAAATCGCCATCAGAATATCAGATATTGCCGCGCTATCGACTAACTGACGTATAGTTATAAAGTATACTTAATAATTATATACTTTATAATTGCATGTCAGTTTGTTGATAAATATGGTAAGCGCCATGTAAAGCTCGGTGTAGTCACTGAAACCTCTGCGGAGGAGAGAGCAATCGGGTGGCGATCTAATATAAGCTACATTTGCAATATATTTCGCTAATTTGTGATTAAGTTCATTGCAGTTTTAATTTAAATTCAGCCGTTTAGTGGGCTGCCTATGCTATAATTAGATTGTTGTTGTCGTTGTGTGAAATTTAAATTTTCCCTGCGACATTTTGATTGGATACTAAATATAAACCTTGCTGTGGGTGGAAAGCGATCAGGTTAAGGCTATGTTTACATTGTATCGGATCACTTTGCGTCCGACGCAAAAACCATACCGGATAGGGCTTCTGTTTACATATGAAATGTTGTTATCGTCTCAATTTCTGCAACGGACCGGTGGTGCGGCGGTTCGCTCTTCGAAGTGGTACGCGATGTATAAGATCGCTTTTTGCAATGCTCTCATTGTAATGTAAACACAAATCGGAGCAATTTTCGGTTCAATACGTGACTCAAGATGGCATCTGGGAAACAAAGACTTGCTATTCTAATCTTATTTGCGGGTATAGCCTGCTCACTTATAATATTTTTGTATTTAGATGGGCGAGGGCGGAAGCTGTTTACACTTGGGCCGTAACGTTTCGTGAACGAAGCAAAAACCGATCCGATACAATGTAAACATAGCCTAAGTTTTGTGTCAGGCTCTATTTTTAAAATAGAGCCTGATACTCAGGTTAGCTTTACGACAAAGCGATGACAATTCATTCATTTCATTTATGCGTACTCAAAGGCGACAAAGGAGAATGGACAGTTGACGTTTGCCATAATCTATACATGCATTGAAAAGAAGTAAAAAATATATGACCTTTAATTAAAGACCATGTATAAAGTCCGTAATGTAAACAAACGCTTTGTTTACAATTTGAACACTGTGCTACAGTTGTAAAATATGATTAGATATATATTATACTGAATTTTTAACACTCTTCTGGTTCACTATGCTTGTAAGTGAATACAGATTAGAGATTCAAATCAAGAAAGTTCAAAACATAGGAAATATTAATAACATTCCAACGGTCGGGTCCCGACCATTAGAATCTAAACCTGCGCAGAACGTATGCGCAGAAGGGACTTTACATGGTCTTTAATATAAATATATAAGTCTCAAATGTTTTACGTATTTTATTTAAAATTGATAAACCCTATATGCAATCTGCAAGTATTTATCAGAAAACAGTGCATACCTGTGTGCAATTGAAAATCCACTTTTATTGGCGTTAGTAGGAACACTTTCAAGCGGTATCCGTGTCGCCATATTCAACAGTTGTAAACTATACTTTGCTTTAGTAGAGAGATTCAGCTAGAATCAACGTAGAATTCGTATGAATAGATGTTTACGAAAGCGCTTTCAACTCAGCGAAAGATCTCATCGCATCCAACACTCTCCTGCAGTACTACGATGTCACACTACATGTAACCTTGAAAGTAGATGCCTCAGATGAAGCATTGGTTGGGTTTTACTTCAGAACGGGAAGTCAGTGTGTTTTACGTCGCATGAAAGAAACTACGCGCAGATTGAGAAGGAGTGTCTGGCCATCGTTAATTGTATGAGTAAATAGCAGCATGGATACCCCTACGGGAAGAAAAACATCCTCGTTCACACAGATCATCAGCCACTGGAAACAATCTTCATATAACCGTTAGCTAAGGCATCTAGACGGCTCCAGCGCATAATGCTCAAGTTCTACAATACCATTTCTCGGTCTAATACCACAAATCGAAGCAGATGTATATAGCAAATACTTTGTCTCGAGCAGCGTTAGCCAATCCCACGGCATTGGGAACAAGTGAAAAAGAAATGTTTCGCATGGAATTATCATCGATGGACCTTATAAACCACCTAACTTGTATAATGTCACTTTGAAAAGACTAAAAGAAGAATTATCAAGTGACGCAACACTAAAATCACTTACAAGCAGTACTTAAAAGGATAGATAGATAGATAGATAGATAGATAGATAGATAGATAGATAGATAGATAGATAGATAGATAGATAGATAGATAGTGTATTTAAGATTCACCTTGCAGCTGGACAGCTGAATTGCGTGATTTACAAGAGTATATAAAACATTATTTAAAAGATAGAATATGGGTTAATTAGGCATATTTACAAATGGTCATTAAAACGCTTAGTACTAAAAATTACATTAACTTAAGTTACTAGACATGGGAATAAAATTTTTTTTAAATCTTTCTGTATTAGTTTCGAATCGTTCAAACAGTCTTTTGTTCCTAAGTTGGTAAACCGACTCGTGTTTGGGAGGCAGTAAATTATGCAGTTTGTGTGTCGGATTGTTAGTAATATTTGTAAAAAGTTTATTACACATTTCGTCGCGTCTTTGGAACAAAGTTTGAAGATTGAAATATTCTAAAGTTTCGCTATATGAGTTCGCGGGTAAAATGATCTTCAATGCTCGCTTTTGTACCGTCTCAAGATCTTCTGACAGGAAGGATGGGATTGAGTAATGGAAAACCGAGGCACAATATTCCAAAATGGGCCTGATAACTGTACAGTAAAAGTTTACAATGTCTTTCGGACTGACTTTTGCGCGCTTAAGCAAGATAATGAAGTAAAGACGTTTGTTAGCTTTTTTGACGACTTCGTTAGTGTGGTCAGTCCATTTAAGGTTACAAGAGATGGTGGGGCCTAGAATTTTAGCGTTTTGGACAACCGGCAATTTCTTTCCGTAGACTGTAAGAGGGTCGAAGTTCTGTTTCGTGGATTTAAAGTCGATTTGGAGTTCTTTACATTTATCTACATTAAGAAGTAATCTGTTGGAATTCGACCAGTTTTCTACTGTGGTAACTGCTTCTTGGGCTTTGATGGTATCGCCTTTTTTAACAACCTCAGAAACGGTTGTATCATCGACATACTTCCAAGTAGATACTTCAGTGATTTTAAGATCATTGATCATCCATAGAAAAAGCCATGGCCCAAGTTTCAAGCCTTGAGGGACACCAGCCGGGACAGCACCCCACTCTGAAACGCAGTCGGTTGCGAGTTTAACTCTTTGTTTTCTGTCCAATAGAAAATCAATAGTCCAGCGTACGACTGCCTTCGGAAATGGTAATCTGGAGACTTATCAGCGAGTATACAATGGTCAATAAGGTCAAACGCTTTTTTATAGTCGAACAGGACTACTCTGACTGCTGCGCCAGTGCCATCAGTTGATTTGGACCAATTGTGGATCATTGATATCGCTGCCATAGATGTAGAGGATTTTGGTATCACTCCAAATTGGTTGGGGTCGATTTGACACAGAATAGCTGGCCCAATGTATTTAGAAACAACGAATTCGTCTGCTACTTTAGAGAGGGCTGGGGTGAGGGATATTGGTCTTAAATCTTTCACTACGCAAGCTTTACTCAGCATGGTGCATACTTGGACCAAACATACTGACGGTTCTGGATCAGCAGTGCGAGTCGTACTTTTCGACTATAAGAAAGCATTCGACCTGATAGACCACAGTATCCTGGCTTCTAAGTTGTCCACCCTCAACTTACCGCATTCTTTCTTGAGCTGGATATTAGACTATCTTAAGAATCGCAAGCAAAGGGTTAAACTTGGTCAGGACTGTAAATCTGAATGGGGTGATATACCAGCAGGGGTACCCCAAGGGACCAAGCTGGGCCCGTGGCTTTTCGCCTTAATGGTCGATGATATCGATGTCACCAACACAGATCTATGGAAATATGTAGATGATACTACAATCGCGGAAAATGTTGCAAAGAACCAGGCAAGTAGAATCCAAGACGATGTTAATGAGCTTATAACAAAATCGGGTGAGAATAAATTCCAATTAAATGAAAAAAAGTGTAAAGAAATGCGAATATCGTTTGCAAAGTCGCCTGCAGATTTCAACCCAATTATCGTTAACGGAAAAGCTATCGAGCAAGTTTCATGTGTCAAGCTACTTAGATTGAACATTACGAGTGACCTGAAATGGAACCACCATATATCGGAAATATCGCGAAAAGTGTCCAAAAGACTCTACTTCCTCAGACAATTGAAGAGAGCAAGAGTCGCTAATAAGGATCTGGTAATCTTTTACATCACATGCATTCGGCCCGCCATGGAATACGCCTGCCCTGTCTACCATAATTCACTGCCCAAATATTTGTCTGATGAACTTGAAGCCCTACAGAAGCGCGCCATGAGAATTATTTTCCCATTTATTTCTTATTTTGAAGCTTTAGAACTCGCTAAATTAGAGACAGTGTACATTCGTAGACAGACTCAAACAACTAACCTTTTTCAGGAAATTAGTAATAACCCAGAACATAAACTATATCGATTTTTACCGAAGTTAAATAAATGTAATTTTAAGCTTAGGAATACTCGTAAATTTCAAGTTCCTGTCTGTAAAACTAACAGACTTCAGATCAGTTTTTTTTATAGTAATTGTACATAGTTTAGTCGTACTTAGATCTTTTAATTGTATTTTTGATGTTATTGTAAATTCCTAATCTAATTCAGCTCAATTTTGGCTGTAAATTTTGGGATCATTAAACTATCTATCTATCTATCTATCTATCTTAAATGTTTACAAATTTCGGTTACCGGTTTCGTTTTTATGATTGGAACAACATCAGCTGATTTCCACGAGGCAGGGAGTCGTTGTTCATTAAAACTGCTATTGAGAATCGAACTAACAGGCTGGGCGAGGACTTCTGCATATTCGTTTAACACCCAATTCGGAACACCGTCTGGGCCTGAGGCTTTTCTGGGGTTAAGGGACGCAAGCCCTTTATACGCATCAAATTCGTCGAGATGGAGGACAGAGTCATTTGGATCGTAGGAGGGAAGAGAAGTAAGAGGTTGGTAAGTTTTCATGGGGTCTAGGAAGGCTGTGTTTATGAGATTTGCAATCTCATTTGGAGATTTCCGGTGAATATCGTCAATGTAAATTTGGTTATATAGATCTTCCGCTCCCGTTGAGGGGGTCATACCAGCAATCTGTTTTACTTCTTTCCACCAACGACTTGGTTTTGACTTTTTTAGATGTTCAACCTTCAACGAATAAAACTTTTCACGGCATTTTTTTCTTTCGCGATTAACTCGGTTGCGGTTATACCTAAACAGTTCGTTATTGCCGTTAGAAAATGCTGCTTGGCGTTTTTTTATAAGAATCTTAAAATTAGCTGTGATCCAAGGGGGATCATTCACATGTAGTGTTATTCTTCTTTTGGGCATTAGGATATTGATACCCAGGTTAATAAGATCAGTGAAAAGCTCAAGTTTTTCTTCACAGGTTTCGAGATGATTTAGGATGGACCAATTACAGGAGGTTAGGTATCTTCCAAGTTCGCTCTTTTTACTGGGACGCATGTCTCTACTTATGACGACCTTTCGACTATCTGATTTATCGCATCTGTTTTTTGGGTTTAGAATGACCACATTGTGATCTGAGAGGCCAAAGGGAGGATGTTTCTCTACAGAGTCTTTAGCGTAAAACGAGTATAAGTTGGTGATAATTAGATCAAGAGTCGTGTCAGCTCTGGTAGAAACATTGACCATTTGTTTGCATTGAAACTGGTTCAGTAGACGGTTAACTTTTAATTGGTTGAAGTCTCCTGATAACATTAGACCACAGCCTGGATAATCGCTTTCAATGGTGGTAAGTGATATTGAAAGGTAACTGAGCATTTCATGATCATCGGCGCGTGGTGGGTGGTATATTACGCCAATTACAAGACAAGTAAATCCACGGGGTAATCTTTTGGGAGTAAGACGTACCCAGAGAACCTCTAACAAGGGATGCTGTAGATGGTCTAAACATTCAAAGGATATTGAGTTCTTAATATATAAACCCACACCTCCATGACAGCCCACTGAACGGTTTTTGAAGATGACATTATATTCATCTACATAAAGACACGATTCGTCAATTGATCCATGGAGCCAAGTTTCGGTGATACAAGCAGCGTCTGGATTGTGAATTTTCATAAAACAAGAGACTTCGTCAATTTTAGGGGTGAGTGACATGGTGTTTGTGAGTAAAATTTTGGGCACGAACGTCTTTTTGTTCTCATTTTGGGTTTTAGATGAGACAGTAATTAAATTACCGTGTGTTCTTGAGGGTATTTTATATTATTTGTTAAAACTTCTGTTTGTGATTCTAACCGTTATGTTTTGTAGGTTTTCCTGATAAGGGGGAGATGTCATGGGTTTATGATCGTGGATGTTCAGTATGTCAGCGGGGGCCAAGTAAGAGCATTCATCAGTGGGGGGGGGGAAGGAGGAATCATAGGCCAGGGGGAATGGGACAAAAAAGGTGACCTTGTGTTGTGTCTCGTATCTGGTTGAAAAGGGGGAGCACAATGATAGATAGGGGTATGTAGGGAAGAACTTGGATAAGCAGTGGCGTTCATCCTGGGTCTGGGAGCCACCATACCATGAGAAAAACCGATATGAGAATAATCACATCGATCCCCTTTCAAACAAAAATCATTCCTTCGTAGAAAAGGACAGGATATTTTGTGTTTGTCACGACCAGGCTCTTTATGCTGAAAATCACAACGGTTCCCTTTAGCGCACCATCCTCGGCGGGATAGAAAGGGGAAAGGGATAGAACTTTTGGGAGAGTTGGCGTACTTGTTATTTTTATCTTCGTTACTGACGCGGTTAAAGGGGAAGTCAGAGTCCAGAAAAACTTAGGCTAATATGAAAGATCATATAATGCTTACCTCTCACACAAAGTCCCACATGTCCAAGTTATAACCAAGTCGAGAAATAAAGCGATAAATGTGCTAAAATTTACATATAACGCAGCCGCCATTTTGTACATCAAAGCGAAGCTGCGATCACGCAGCGGTTTTACCTTGTGACGTCATTGCGCGGTTTCGCGGGAGCGCATTTATATTCAAATTTCAAAACAACACAGCAATTTCACAGGCGACTTTTCTAGTTTTATAAATACTTATTTCGGAAAAATGCCGTACTGCATGGTTCCTGGTTGCACAAATTGTTCAAAGAAGACAAAAGGTAGTGATATATCGTATCATCGTTTGCCAAATGATCAGCAAATGCGAAGAACATGGCTCAGACGTGTTCGTCGTGACAACCTGCCGAAAGCTAATTCGTGCTATGTTTGCAGCGCTCATTTTACCCCAGATTGTTTCGAGGGTTCTCTTAAAGAATTATTTGGCATGAAAGGGAAAAAGGCTCTAAAATCTGGAAGTGTTCCATCGATATTTCCGTTTTTACATCGCAAACCAGAACGCGAATTATCATATAAGAGGGCACAAATCAGAGAGAAAATTGCGAAAGACGAGGTAATTTCTATTACTGTAGAAGTGTATATTTCTGTGTGAACAGACTAGATTGCGAAATCTATAAAGGTTATGGTAGGGGATGGCAATTACTAATTTACTGTACATTCTCTATTATGGACACCAGAGCTTTACTTTTCAGGTCTATTGGATGGGGGGGAGGGGGGTAGTCCCAAGGCGGGCTCAATAGAATAGGGTTATAGCTTAATATGAAACCACAGAAAAGCAACATTATTAGCGTCCGGGGTAAATTATTTATCTAGTCATTAACATGAATGCAGGGGGGGGGATAGAGGATTTATGGTTTGATCCATAAGTACTTTAATAATGAATTAAAATGGTCCACCGGGTAGCCACGTTTTTGGACTATTTTAATTCAAAAGTGGCAAAAAACGTGGATTTCTTTGCAGGAAGTAGCAAGCCTACTAACAATAAACAGCGAAGAGCATGAAATGGGCAATACATGTATTGAACAAGAACTGCCAAGTACGTCAAGTCACGATGCAGAAACACAGTGTGATTTGAAGATTTTGTTGGATGCAGAGGTCCAGTGTGAAAAAATATTAAAACGGAGTATTGCTATACAAACTCTTGCCCAACGTAAAAATAAATCTAAAAATAAAAAAAATTCTTCTACTGTTCGCAATATAAATAACAGTTGTCCAGTTCCTACTCCTCCTTCAACACCGATGGAAACAAAAGGACAAAAGTCATCCACTATCCGTGCTCTATATTGTAATGATCCTGTTGTCACCTCCCCTTCAACATCAGTTGTCAGGAAAGAAACGGACACAAACATGACACTATCTGATTCTGAACAGATTGTGAACATTTGCAGTAGTAGTGAGGATGACACATCAGATAGTGATGTCACATCAGATAGTGACGACGATTATATTTGCTCAGAATTAGACACCAGTGATGAGTCTGACGAGGAAGAACTAAAAAATGAAAGAAAATTTATTGTGTTTGAAAGTATGCTTGATCAGCTATTTATCAACTGTAACGCGTGTGGTTCTCTATGTGAGATTGAAAAGTCCAACACTGGTAGCATGGTAGTAATCAAAGCAACATGTTGTAACAACCATACCTTTCACTGGAGATCACAACCAGAGATAGATAACAAGCCAGCTGGTAACATTTTGATTCCTGCTGCAACTGTCATTACTGGGGGATCCTATGAATCTATGAAACAATTTTCTAATGCACTTAATCTAAACTTTGTTAATAAAGACCAGTTTTACGATGTGCAGGATAAGATTGTTTTCCCAGTCATCAACAATGCCTATGAAAAACAACGGAAGGATGTAATTGAAACAATCAAAAAGGAGAATACTGCAGTCAACTTGTGCGGTGATGGTCGATCTGATAGTCCTGGTCATAGTGCTAAATATGGTACATACACTTTGATGGACGAAGATTCAGGGAAGATTATAGATTTCTCCCTTGTGCAAGTCTCGGAAGTTTCTTCCTCTAATGCAATGGAGAATGAAGGCTGTCAAAGGTCACTCAACGAAGTTATTGACCAAAATGTCCATATAAGATCTTTGTCAACTGATCGTCATACCCAGATCACATCAGAGATGAGGAAGAAATACCCCTCCATAATCCATCAGTATGACGTGTGGCATCTGTCGAAGTGGATTAAAAAAAAATTGGGGAAGAAAGCTAAGACAAAGATCAATGAATCGCTTCTTAAATGGATCCAATCTGTGTCCAATCATCTGTGGTGGTGTTCACAGACTTGTGGTGGTGATGCTGAAGTTTTACGTGAGAAATGGGTCTCCATCTTGAATCATGTGGTTAACAAACACAGATGGAAGAATGGCAAGCGCTTTCGAAAGTGTGGACATGGGCGTCTCTCTAGAAGAAAGGAAAGGAAGACAAAATGGTTAGAGGATGGGTCTGCAGCATACGTAGCACTAGAAGGGGTGGTTCTCAATAAAAAACTTTTAAAAGATATTGAAAAACTCACAGAATTTCATCATACCGGCGACCTTGAAGTCTACCGTTCACTAATGTTGAAGTACATTCCCAAACGTCGTCATTTTTCATACAAAGGCATGTTGGCCAGAACCCAATTGGCAGTGATTGACCACAATTCCAACACTGGAAGGAAGCAAGCAACAGTTACAAAGGGAAGCAAGAAAGGGGAAAAGAGGTACAAGGTAATTTTCCCGAAGGGCAGAAAGAGATGGGTTGCAAAACCAGTTAAGGCCAGTAAGTCCTTTTCCTTTATCCAAAACTTGATGGAAGATGTTTTTTGCTTCAAGTATGACAAGAAAAAACCCTATAATTCAACGATGCCTGCCAATATTCCAAAGAACATTGCACCCACACCAAGGCCATGCAAAGAAGAGATTATAACAGCACACAGATCACGAATGGGAAAGAAACCATAAGCTGTTTCCTGAAGTGTGTTGAAATGAGTAGGTGAACCCAGTGGTGGACACTGGGGGGGGAGGGAACCTTTAAATGATACGTGAATAACAGTGTAAGAAAGCTATAACTTACAACAATTTTCCAACCATGGAAAAATTTATCACTACATACAGTATTGCATGAAATTTAGGGCAAGAAAGTTGAAAGAACTAAGACTTCCGGCTACTAAATGTGGTCATATGTTGTAACTTAATTCCCCCCCCCCATTTTTTCCCAAAGTGTCCGTCACTGGGTCGAGCCGCAATGTCCTACTTTGTTATTTTACTCTGTCTACTGTTATGCCAATTTACACATCACAGAGAAGTGTAGGAGAAGCATTAATGTGTTAAGCAGACTATATGCATATTAAGTTCTTTGAATGTTTGCATGGCGATAAAATATAATTGTTTTTGTTTGTGGAAACACCACGTAAATAAATTAATTATTAATTAATTAATTATTATTATTATTAATTATTATTGCAGTAATAAATTTACGTGGTGTTTCCACAAACAAAAACAATTATATGCATATTCTCTTGTAAACCCATTTAGCTGGCATGTGCTCTACTTTGTTATTTTACTTTGTCTAATACAAGGCAATTTTACTAAATGGGGAGCATTGGGTGTCAATGGGTTAACCAGACTTCCTGCTCATGTCTCTGGTGAACCCATTTAGACATAATAGTTAACATTATAAGGAGAATTGTTGGGAACTGTGATTGTTTTAATAAACTAGATTGATTATCTAGACCCAATGGGTCCCAATGCCTAAAATAAGGTGACAACTAATTGGATAAAGTTTCCCAAAGAATGAAGCAGACTCTTTGTTCTGAAATAGTTAAAACAATAACACTTTTTTTAAATGGAGGGGAACAAAATAGTTGTAAATATTACATAATGTACTATAAGTAATTGTATAATTAGAAAATATTACTTGACAAAACAAAACAAGCAGATTACTGTAGGTTGAAAATAATGTTAATAATATAGTAAGCCAAATAGCAATATTTATACAACAATATATGGAAAGTAAGAAATGAAAACCCCTATCATATATTTAATTACTCATCTGCAAATTTAAAACCCTCAAAAACAAAGTCCTCTTCTAAACCTGGTGGTGGGAAGTGTGCTCGAATACAACTAACTGCACAAGATGGCAAGGGGACCCTTATCTCTTTGCCTAATATATCCCAACACCACCGAACAAACTGCCTGTAAGCAACATGTCTTCGTTTTTTGTGCTCAGGTCCTTCATGTGCCTTTATGCCATAATGTTGTCTATAATCGCTCCAAGCAACTCGCAAGACCCAATAATTCAGACATAAATACTGAAATGCAGGGTTATCAGTAATACATTCTGGGACGGGTATCTCCTCAATTTGTGCTGCTTCTTGGTTTATAGAAACACAAGCTGGGATCTCATGGCAGCAAATACTTTCCTCTTCCCTATCCATTATTTGGCAGTGAGTACAAAGGCACCTACATGTATAAAGCCAAGTTCCAATTTAATCATAAGTTAATTTGGCTAAACCAAGTTAATTTGGGCCAAAGCATAGCAGTTGAATTTATGATTTTCAGTCATGTTTGATTCATTGAAAACTATAATAATTATAAGTACAAACATAATAATGTATAATAATGCCGCCCATAATAATGTACAAACAATTAAAGCACTAATAACCCTAGTTGGGCATGTTGCTGAAAAAGCTTAACCTACATAATTATCTACAACATAAATAATAGAAGCAAATTTAGTAAATAATTACCAGTTCATGTCCTGAAGTCTGGTGGTTTTGTCAGAACTTGACGAAGATTCCGAAGCCATTTCTTCCGAGACTTCATGGTCACCGCTCGAGTCTGTTTCAACCGGTTCAAACGCGTAAGGTTGAATCATGTTTACGTCTCTTTCGACGTTCATATCTTCGCTATAACTCGATCCACTGCTTCCAGAACCATCGCTCGAAGATTCGTTTGAGTAATCAATATCCATTTCTCTTGATACAGTATTACTCTTAAATTTATAAATACTATTTCGTCTTTGTTTACATGTATATCAGAAAATTATAGTACTAAAGCCTGTCTGCCGTGGAAAGCCAACCGCGCAATGACGTCACAAGGTAAAACCGCTGCGTGATCGCAGCTTCGCTTTGATGTACAAGATGGCGGCTGCGTTATATGTAAATTTTAGCACATTTATCGCTTTATTTCTCGACTTGGTTATAACTTGGACATGTGGGACTTTGTGTGAGAGGTAAGCAATATATGATCTTTCATATCAGCCTAAGTTGTTCTGAACTCTGACTTCCCCTTTAAATTTTGTTTTCGAGTTTGAATTCCCGTTCTTGGGTAAGTTAATTTCTTTATTCTGGGCGATTAAGGGGTTTGGCAGAGGCTCGTCTGCCGTAAGATCTACTTTCTGTTTAATTAGAGGATTAGGCTGGGACTCGTCTGCCATACGATCGTCTGCCGTAAGATCTACTTTCTGTTTAGTTTGAGAATTAGGCTGGGGCACGTCTGCCGTAAAATCAATATTACTTACAGACGGACTAACATATTGTGGTTATCGTTAGGTAGATTGTTATCGATATTTCGAGGTGAACTCAAACTGTTTTTATTCAAATTAATAGATTGCTTGCGGTTACGCGTTGATGGTTCTTTTGTAATATTAGATAGGTTAATCGCTCCACTGCTTTTGTTCCGATACTCTTGGGACATGAAATGCACTAATTTTTCAAGGTTCAATAACCTTGACCTAAAGGATAGATTTTCTTCGCTAAGTCGGGAAATAATTTCGTCTTGATTATGTACAACGGCTTCCACATCTACTAGTTTTACTCTTAGCGAGATAATATCCGACTCATGCTCGTTTTCAGACATTGCGGCAAGCATTCGTGATTCTAAAATCGTCATATCTAGTTTAATACCCTCCATATCGGCGTTAAGATGAGCACAATTACAGTCAGAAAGCTCGGGTTCATTCGTGCAATACTTATCTGTAGCAGCGTGTTCGGTGTCTTTATTGTTTAATTGACCAGTAACTAGTGCTAGATGAATCAGTTTTTCGTTGATACTCTCCTTTAACTTCCCATTTAGAGTTATTGAACGAGTACTCGGACGCCATCTAAGATCTAAATCTACAGATTTGTATTGCTTCACGTCTCCACCTGGGCAACCCCATTCGCCATCAGTTGTCGGTAAAAATTCTTCGACAAATTTCTTTAATTTTTCGAAGGAATCCTTCCAGATTAACTTTCCTTTATTGTTTATCGAAATGCCGTGTATTAGGCTATTTCCTTTGCACTTATTTGAGTCCATAACGATTATCGCACATCAAATATAATACAAATTTAAAAGCACAGCTGTTGAGACATGTTTACAGTCCGGTGTCCGGATGGTCGTTATATAGAGCATTGCTACCTGCAGACCTTCGGCCATATTAGTCCTTCAGAAACGAGATTTCTTTGACAATGGTGTACTATTGAAGTCTCATCAAGTAATGATCCCGCCATCAATGAGACAAGAGATGGTAAACAAGATTCACAAAGCTCATCATGGTGCAAACAGCAGTATAAGGAGAGCCCGAGAAGCACTATTCTGGCCAGGTACGTCAGCGGCAATACGCCAAACCTGCTCATCATGTGGTCAATGTGCACAGTATAAATCAGAACGACCAACCGAACCGGTTAAAGAGACTTCCATTGGAGCGAATAAGTGTTGGTCTATTTCGATTGGATCATTTGGATGGTAAAACGTACTTGGTAATTGCTGATTATTACAGTTATTAATTTCATTGAAATTAATTGGCTAAAGAATACGTCAGCAACGGCAGTTATCAACGCTATGAAAAAAACTTTGCCAAAGCAGAAATTCCTTGCGTATGAGTCATTGCGAATGGTCAACAATTCAGTAGTCATAAGTACAGCCAATTCGCCAGTGAATATGGATTCAAACCAACACGTCATTACAAAGGCAAAGAAATCGCAGAATCTGCGGTAAAGGTGGCGAAAAATAGTCTGAAGAAAGCACGGCATGAAGATCCCTACTTGGCATTACTGGCATACAGGAACACTCCACAACAGGGCCACAAGTTCTAACCTGCTCAGAGGCTCATGAATCGGAAACTACGAGATATCTCCGTGTCCGTACCTCAACAACTTAAACCACATCCTGTTTTCAGCACTGAAGTTGTGAATGATATAATTTCGCGTAGAGTCCGGTCCAAACAACAGTATCACATAAACCTCTGAACACGTTTTCGCAAAATGATCAAGTCTTCGTGAAACCAAATCCGAAAAATAAGCACAAGCTATGGATATATGGAGAAGTCTTAAAAAATCGCGGTCACGGATCGTGTGCAGTGAATACGGCTGTTGGACTAATTCAACGAAACCATAAACAACTCCGAAAAGCTGAAGTCACACCGCAGGCCCTCAAGAAAACGAAGCAGGAAGAATTGAAATAATACCCCTCCCAAACCTTACCATCACCAACTCCATTATCTATGGAATCAACCGAGGACCAAATAACGGCGCGATCATCTCCAACGGTGGAAACACACAGTAAACACAGCCAGCACGTTTACGTCGTTCTACAAGAATTCGTAAATCGCCAGTAAGAATTAAAGATATATACGGTGACATTTAATCCTTAAGAAACATGAATCTGAACTTAGTACTTTCAGGTTTTCTTGGAACATTCTTCTTTATAAGAACATTTATTTGAACTTTATATTATTTTTTTAGGTTTTTTTGTTTTGTTTTAAAAAAAATATGCAAAAAAAAAATTATAAGGAGTAAGGTGTTGATAAGTTACATTTAACAAATATAAAACATTTTCCGTGTTGATATATATAGGTTATCATATAAGGGATGAGGTGATATCAGTTTTATCGCTCGAGGGATGATATCACAATTGTCACGA